ATAAAACCTCAATATGTAATAATATTTGACTCGAATAGATCAGTAATTAATCATCGACTTTCAAATTTAGAAAAAATAAAAAGAGCTATAAAATGAACGATTCCACGAATGAACGGGAATCGAACTCGGCACCCCTTAATCTGATGTCCGCTGCTCTACCTACTGATCAAAAGCCTATGTTGGAACAAAATAAACTTTGATACTTTGCTACACAAAGTATTAAGGTAAAAAAAAAAACAATAACCATGCCTACTGAAATCACGTGACAAAAATTGACATTGACGAGATGACTCCGGAGCGATCTTCGTAAAACCCCCTATACCCTTACCCTAACCCATACCCTAACCCTAACCCTGAACCCTAACCCTGAACCCTAACATTCCAGTCATAACCCTAACCCTAACCCTAACACATTTAATTTCTTCAGTTCAATAACACATCCATCAATATCAAAAGTGTACTGAAGCAAAACATCTCTTTCTGCTTCGTCAACTGTCACGCTTCTTACGAATAAACGTATATCTCTTTTTAAGAATACCATGGGTGACTTGCTCACAGGATAAAACCTATTCGCTAAGTTCATGTTCTCCATCACAGTTTCCGCAAAAGTATGTTCATCTTCCTCGGTATTCATCTTAAAATAAAAAAAAGTTCCAGTCATATTGATTCAATTTTATATACATTTAAATTAAATTAATTTTACTTATCTAACATAATAGGTCTCCTTAATCAGTTATATTAAAATGGTACCCTTTGCAGAAGATATAAAATCCAGATAAAAAAGTTTATATGTTGAAATTGTACTAACAATATTAAAAAATTCCTACTTCACAATGTCGGAAAGCAAAACAATATATGCTCTCATACTCATTAAATTAAATGAGTATGAATAAAGAGTAAAAAAAACTGTAGAAAACCAAAGTGAACCAATCGTATACCTGGGTTTCACAATAATATTCACCCTGTAGCACGGCCAAGTTTTCCCTGGGTTATACCCGGGTTTAACCTGGATTAAACCCGTGTATATCTTGGGTTTAACTCGGGTTTAGCCTGGGTTAAACCCAGGTATATCCTTGATTATACCTGGGTAATACCCAGGTATAACCTGGGTTATACCCGGGTATAATCAAGGATATACCTGTGTTTAAACCCGGGTATACCCTGGGTTAAACCCGGGTATACCTAGCTAAAGGTATACCCGAGTACACTGGTGTGCATACTCAGCATCATTTTAAGTTTACTTAAATGACCTTCATTTCAATCAATATATTCTTATTGTCTTATTATAAGGAATATATCCTAATTAACCATTGAAAATACACTTTAAATTACCAGGTACTATTGAAGAACACAAAAATAAACATGAACATTGTCCTCTTAAATACAAATAATTCATTATACTGCCGTCAATTTTTAATGCAAAAAAGGCAAGATTGTGCATAACTTCCTTGAAAAAGATGCAGTTGCTTACTCAAACAATACATGAGAATAAGCAATTAAAAAAATCAAATGAAATATTACCTTACATCAAGAAAAATCACGATTAAAAACACAACAGTACATAAACGTCCAAATCAAAATAACACCTACTTTCACAATGAAATGATTGATAATCACATGATAAAACAGGCGGCTTCCCGCAATCCCGCACACGCAACACGTCAAAGTGCCCTTACCCTAACCCTAACCCTAACCAACGTCATTATAATAATTGTATAAGAGGGATTATAATGATGTTATAAAGTTCATATTATTATTTTCGAATATTTAGTACTATTTACTACGATTTCAGGAAATAAAATTACACGAAAGAGAGAGAGAGGATCTAATGCTCGATTCTTTAGAGAATCGTTCATATATATGAAGAACGGGTAGCGAATCAAATTACATGAATATATACGGAAACAACATTCTAAAATTATTTGAAAGGGGAGATTTTCTCCGGAAAAGGGTTCCTTTGGAATATATATGAAGAAAGGGTAGCGAATCAAATAACCTGAGTATATATATTCACAGAGACAACATTATAAAATCCTCTGAATAAACCCTAACAAAAAAACTATTGTTTACTATAGTTAACTATAGTAAATCAAAGTGTCAAAGTTTTCGCCAAAGTTATTCAAAGTGTCAAATTTTCGCCAAAGTTTTTCAAAGTGTCAAAGTTATCACTATCGTAAACCAAAGTTTTTCAAAGTGTCAAAGTTATAACTACAGTTAAATATAGTAAACTATATATATGTAGTTAACTATAGTATTTTTTTGTAAGGGAAGGAGAGATTTTCCCCGAAAAAGGGTTGGTGTCATTCAGATACGAAATGGGGTTTGGTTTTCTTGGGGGAGTCATTTTTAGAATAATCATTTTTCAAAATGATCAAGGCATATTATAGGAAGTGGATGAAATAACATGAGTATATACCGACGCAATTTTCCACTTTTAATGCTTTTCTTGTAAACTGAAGTATAAATTATAATACCACAAACAGAAAAGACTTGTAAAGAAATTAGTTTAAAAATATGCTATTTATTCCGTATGAACAGCAAACAATTAATGAACTACAATAAAATAAAATTTGCTATTTACTCGTAAAGTATCTTACACCGTCCTTATTTGTTAATTTATATCATTTCTGAAATAAATACAATTTTATTTTATTTGAAATTATGTTGAATATGTGATAGGTAAACTAGACACATCTTATTTGATTCTATATTTATTAATGACCTATGAGAAAATAAATATTGGAAAAAAATTTGCTTTTTATTCCGTTAATTTTATTTCAAATTTATTAAATGTTTTGATATATGCCATTTACGGAAAAAACGCAATTTTAATAGTTTTAAAAATTATGCTGCAATTATTCAAACCTGATACATCTTAAATTATTTGCTATTTATTTCGTATGTTATAAAATATGAAGAAACATTTTACTGTTGTCATTTACGGAATAAACGTTATTGTGCTTTATTACTAAAATGCTTTTGTTTATATTCAAATTCTTTGTGATTCTTCTTAATATTATACTGTGGTATTCAAAGTCTTTACTCGCCAGCTACCTTCATAGGCCTAGAAGTGCAAGTTCAACGTGAATGATGTGTACTCACGAAATATTTCATTCAGGAGTTGTCGGTCATTGCTGCCATTTGGTACACGGATCCCTTGCCATAATCTTAAAATAGGAAGTTGAGTAATTTTGTGTATTTACGGAATAAATGCTATATATTATTCATTTATCTAATAAAATCACCGTCCACACGTCTATTACGCTTTACGGTACCCGTCTCTTATCTGCAACTCCTCTCGAACCACTGAATGAAATTCGATTAGATTAAACAGAATTTTAAATACATATTGCTTTTGTGACCTCCTATTTTACTTTTTATTCGATATTTTGGAAAACATGACACTGCCATTATATTGATATGGGAGGCGGGGTATCATTTTTAGTGAGTCCATTGCATAATTGGAGTGTCCATATTTTGTTGTTAGAAACCCAAAATATGTGTCAGATCAAAAAGTAAATAAAAGGTGCACAATTGAAATATGTAATAAAGATTCTGTGAGAGTTTCATCAAATTTCATGGAGTGGCATGAGGGGAATTTCGAAAAAGAGATGGGTACCCCAAAGCGTAACAGACGGACGGATGGACGGACGTTCAGACAGAGAAATGGACGTAAAGACAGACGGATTATTATATACCCTCCCACTTTTCCAGCGGGGGGTTTAATAATAAAAATACCTGTTATTGGTGGCGTATAGGCTGATGACTTTTTTTACATAAACATATATCGTTTTTGTACACAATTACCCCGGTAGAGGGATTGCAAACGTCGATATTTATACCCCCGCTTGAAAAATGGGAGGGTATACTGTAATCGGTATGTCCGTCCGTCCGTACGTCCGTCTGTTACTCTTTGGGGTACTCATCTCTTATCGGCAACTCCTCTTATACCACTGATTGAAATTTAATGAAACTTTCACAGAATCTTTATTTCATATTGCCATTGTGCACCTCCTGTTTTACTTTTTGATCCGACACGTATTTTAGGTTTACCATAGCAAAACATGGACATTGCCATTATATATTCTTACCCATGACGTGAGATATGGCGGTTTCTGAATAACATTAGATACCACGAGTTATTCCTCTTTACACGTTACCTTAAAACAATATATAGCAAAACATGGACATTATGGGAGGCGGGGGGTATCATTTAGTGAGCTCATTGCTCACAGTACCTCTAGTTAAAGCTTGCAAACGAATAAAAGATTGATTGGTTAAATATGCTATTTAACATCCCTCTCGAGAATTTTTCACTCATTTGGAGACGTCACCGTATGCCGGTTAAGGGCTTCAAATTTAGACCTATACTCAACACTCAGGGCACTGAGGGTTCTTTACGTGCCAACGTCTACTGCGACACGGGACCTACCTTTTTAAGGTCACATCAGAAAAAACCGTGCCTTTCACTTCCAATGCCGAGCGTTTAGCGAAGAACCAGTCACTACCTTTGTTTACGTCTTATGTTTGACGCGGCGCCGCAAACGAGAATGGAACCTGGGCCTTCCGATCACGAAGCGAACGCTCTACCACTAGACTACCGTGACCGGCAAATTCAAAAGATGATATTCCTGTAATTGGTGTGGGCTTACATATATTTCATACTGCAGTAAACACATCACAAGATAAATTTTTCCTGCCGTTTTTCCCTCTCCATAGATTTATTTTTAATCAAACAAGATTTTTGCTCTAATTTAATTCTTCTATAAAGTTATTCACCACATTCAAATGTTTTTTTTGTAAAGAATAAACGCACGTCCAAATATTTAGAACAAAAGAATATAATATAAATATTACACTAACTATTTTTTTTCCACAAACTCAAGGCACAACAATTTTACAAGACAAATGTTTTTCGTTTATATGATGAATCAAACACTATATACATTACGTAAATCGGTTGATGTTTTGATAAATCTTGTTAAAGTTATTAGATACATTTATTTCTCTGTTATTTGAAGATACTTGAAGACCGTGATTATGTTACTATTCAGCTGGCCTAAATAGAGGTTATTTTCGTCGTCAACACTCAGAGCCATTGGGTCATGGATATTATGGTGATTTGTCAGTATGAGAGATAGAAGCTGTCCGTCCTGATCCAGAAGATGAACACTGGCATTTGAGGAATCATAATCACACACTAGTACGTTGCCAAGAATATCAGAACAGATTCCCCGAGGACTAAAGTTAGACTGCGACTGCTGACCTTCGTAGTCAAATCTATGTTCTCCTGACTTTTCTACCACCACCACCATAATTCTGTCGGAGGTCCAAACGTCACCATTTTTGTTTTCGGTGATATCATCTGGAAATTCATACAGGTCCTCTCCCTGGTTGTCCTTTGAAAAATCCCGAATTTTGTGTCCTGTCATGTTGTACCTAATAACTTTACTTTTACCCGTACGTGTGAGAGAAATACCAACTAAAATGTCGCCGTTTATGTGGGAGGAGTGGATGCACGTTACCATCTCCTTTGGTGTACATGATATGAGAGTAGTTATAGTCCCATCTGACATTTTCATTACTCTGTTTTCATAATTAAACAAAAGTTCTCCATCTTTTGTGACGGAGTGAGTGTTATAGTATTCATTTTTTAAAGTAATTCTATGCAGAACATTTCCAGCAAAGTCCAGTTGGAAAAGATCTCCAACGAAACTATTCATCCAGAATCTGTTTGACGTCACACAGGAGATACGATAGACACTTTTAACATCAGGAATAGTAATTGTGGATAATGGAAGAACAGACGGGAGAAACGTCAAAAGCAGTACAACATCTGTGAATGAAAGAGAGTTATTAAGAAATAAAGAAAACAGACTTTTAACTTATGATAATCAAGGCGTACGAGAAGTAACAAATGTAGATATTAGTAACAAGTTATTTTTTAAAACATATATAGAACTATGAATATCAGTCGGTAGGAAATTAAATTTACCACATAGTAGATGGGCGAACTTAGCGTGCAAAAAGCCCAACAACTTCAGATATATAAAAGTCATACTCATATTGTGAATTAAAGGTTTAGGGTAAAGTTTTCAATATTGATTTTCATGAAATTCAGATTAACAAAAAGTTTTGAGGAAAATTTTTTCGTTAAAACTTGTTCTTTTATATGAAAAAAATTATGTGGTATCCATTGGGTTCGAACGTTGGCAATAAAATCATCAGTTGCATTCTCTATTTAGACTAGCACGCTAACCACTTCGCTACACAAGTCCTGAAGAAAGATAGTATTTAAATTATGTTTGTGATATGACCATCGACTTAGTGGACTTCAAATATTTCTCGAAAAGATACGAAAGTTATGTCATAAATTTGTATTTTTAAAGTATAGTGGGTCTTTGCTCCACGATTTTAGAAACCAAAGATTGTTTGTTTGTATGCAAACTTTGAGGATGAACTTTCAAAAAAATAGAGAGAAGACCCACTCATATCGAAAACTTATGTAATATTGTGAACAAATTACTCGCTTTTGTCCTCTTTCCTGTGTATCTAATATTTAATACGAAAAAAACTTCAATCTTCAATGCGGTCAGCGTACAGCTGCTTATAAAAATTGTATGTTAGTTGGAGCTCAGCAGGATTTTGTTCTGAAATTTGTGCATAAGGTCAGCATATGGATGTTCATAAAATATGAATTGTAATAATGAGCTCATTATAGTAAGGTTTGTTACTAAATATTGTTTATGAGGCAGCATATGGCCCCTTCTTTATTCTCGTTAACTGTATGTTACTCACAGTTATGTAAGCTTTGTCCTTTATATTTTGTTACTTATTCAAATATAACTTTGTGTCTAAGTGGGGTTTTAATGTTTATGCTTATTTAGTCCATACAGGTACATGATATTCAATACACAATGTTATTATCTGTTGAATAACATGTTTACTACAATTAATATTGAACAGTATATAATTCATGTAATGCCTTTTCTTTGGTGGCGCTGCATGCTTCATTCAAGCATTGAGCATGCTGTGTGGCCTGTTTGTTTACGGCACCTTCTTGTTTCACAAACTTGGTAATCATTAAATAACAATAGTTGGGATAAGAACTAAGTTGCAATATATCATATCTAAGTTGAAACTATTCATTATTTGACCTTATCCCAGCTATGATTTACATGATTGTATGTAACATTGTATATTTATGTGCTTTTGTTTACTTTCGTCATTTATATATATCTGGTCAATAAATGACATTTTTACACAACTCAAGTTATCATGTCTTCTATAATGTTTCAAGCAACACGAACAAGCTACGGAAAGGCTTTTCGTTTCAAGAGATTTACCTTAATTAGTTGAAAAGTTGTTGACATAAATAAAATTTTATGTTTTATAAAATGTTTTTTATAAACAATCTTATTTACATTGTTTTTGACAAATTTAGATTCAAATTGCAGTTGTTATTGATTTAATGTATTAAGAACGGGGTCGACTGGATCGGGATCAAACTCATGTTAGGATCGGGTTCCACTTTATCGGGATCGAGTGTTCAATTAATTTAATATTGCGAAAACATGAGGTTTAGTCAATTTACCACCTTCTTGTTACACAAACTTAGTAATCATTATATCACAATAGCTGGGATAAGAACTAAGTCGCAATATATCCTATCTAAGTTGAAACTATTCATCATTTGGCCTTATCCCAGCTATAATTTACATGATTGTATGTAATATTGTATATTTACTGTGAAATCACAAATTTTCGTGGGGGTTTAATTTTCGTTTTTTTCGTGTTAAGACAAGACCCACGAATTCATGTCCACCACGAAATGTAAAATGTCACACACATAAGTACTCATTAATTCTTGATCCACGAAATAAATCCCCACGAATCAAGAGATTTTCCTCAAACCACGAAAAATTGACCCCACGAAAATATTTGATTTTACAGTATGTGTTTTAGTTCACTTTTGTCATTTATCTGGTCAATAAATGACATTTTTGTTCAACTCAAGTTCTCATGTCTTCTGTAGTGTTTCAAGCAACACGAACAAGCTACGGAGTGGAAAAGTTGTGGATATAAAAATGAATTTTCAAATAAACTAGAACTATGCTAGATTTTGCGAAGGTTCGAATCTACGTACGGATTTGAGCCTTTAATCCCTACAAATATTTTTCTCTCGTAATAAACGAACAACGTTTTTAAGCGGTTAGCTTCGCTAGCCGCTATATGGCATGTGTCGGCAACCGGAAACCTCCATAAGGCGCTACCTATGAGCAAAAACTTTTCCGAGCTTTTCCGATCTTTGGCGGAAATACCCGAAAGTCTATGCTGAATTATCTGGGGTTACATGCAGAAATGCAGGGGCAAACTTTGCAGTGTCTACCTAGTACCCCTGTTAGTACCTATGATTTGTTTCTACACATATAACATATGTTAAATAAAATAAAGACTATCAAAACAACATAATCTTTGGGCTTTAAAATTTTTTTCTGATTTTGTTTGTCAATGAAATAAATTCATAATTGTTGTATTAAAAAAGTTTATGTATAGAAGCATTTGTATCGAGATTAAATTTCCGTGATATCAGCTGATGGCGATCGGGCCCTGTGACGAAATTCGAAGTCAGCATGGCGTTAAGATGATAACATTGTCAACGTGTAAGATTTAAACTTTAGTAAGAAATGTATAGCGGGAAATATATTTGAATCTAATGCTACAAGAAAACCAGTAAGCATTTCCGATTTATGTGTTAAATTGAAGCCTGAATCAAACTGGCGTTGGACGCCTTTTGTATTTATATATAGAGTGGGTAGAATGTTTCCATATTTGGCTAATTTAGAGACTTATTGATAAAAATTCAAGTACCTGTGATTAATTATAAGGCTACTCTCATGAACAATAAATATTTGACCGAATTATGCTACTGGGCACAGGGAGGACGGGTAAATTACTGGCTTAAGGGGTTGAAGGTTATTACCAACTGCAAAACATCGGAGAATCTCTCAATCGAGTTTCATTTTCCAAAATATGAAGGCATACCTTTAATTAATTTAAGTTATACTAGTACACGAAGAAAGCCTTTATATAAAAATACAGAAGTAAGTTGTACAGTTATGGATTACTTCCATAATGAAACGTTTCTTTTCGTCTCCTTTTTTTTCTCAATTGAAATTATTTAAAAGATGATAAAAGCTTTGTTTCCAGGGAAAAAAATCATTTTCAAAAAGTGGGAATAGATAGAATGAACCCACCTGCTGACCCGCAGTGAGCCTACGATAATGAAGCTCTCTGAAATTACCGTAATTAATTCTCTGCTCGTCCATCCTTTTTTTCTCAGACTAGCCAGCTAAAGATCTATGTACAGTACTCCAAATCAATTAATCTAAAGAATTTGAATTATCATTTTATTTTCTTTTTGAGTTGTTTGCTACAGAGCCTTTATAGTTACCTAATTTCAGAATCAATAGAGCATGAAAGCCAATAAATTGGCAACACCAACCTAATTTTTTTTTTTCGTTCTGAGCACTTTTGGACGCCACCAATGGAGATAATTAGGGAGATAATTTCTGAATTTCAAACTTGAAATGGCAGGTTGATATTTTGAAAGAAACAATTATGACATCAGTCTGGGATGTTATTAGTTATACCATTAAGTTAAGTACTACAAAATTTATTGTGTCTGCTTCTTCGCTGATGACACTGTAAAAAGATAGGCATGCCTACTTTATATCATCATTCAATGTATTTTTTGTGATTGTACACTGTACATGTTCGATGAAAGCATACTAACCGCTTTTCAGTACTTTCAGTACTTTGATTTTGTTATTGTATCATTCTGTATCTTATGTGTCAACTTTATCATATGTGAAAAAGGGAATAATTTTAAAAATATTAGCAGCATGTACAATAAAACTCGGTAATAACGACGTCGTTGGGACCCATCAAATTATTTTGATAATTTGTAATTCGTTATATCCGTGTAAGGAAATTGTCAAATTTAATATCCTGGGATCCAAAATTACAATATCCGTGAATTCGCAATATCTGCGTGCATACTAAACGAGTTTTTATGTAATTATAACCAATATATCCTCCACACACACACACACACACACACCCTCACACACCCTCACACACACACACACACAGCATATGTTCTCATATTAATGAGCATAACTAAAAACAAGCATATCAACCATTAAAAACTGGCCAGAAATTAAAATATAATTTATACTGTTTTTTTTTACATTATTATTTCACAGGTTTAAAAATGTTTTTCCCAAGGGGTTACAAGTTTTGTCTTACCCATTCGTGTATCTTTAAGCTCACAGAATAACCATAAAAACACAATTCTTTCGATTAAAATGTTTTTAGGGAAAGGATGGTTGCACTTAGTGTACAAAACGGTAAATTGCGCAAAAATAAA